ACCATGTAGTCAGTATATCATCAGTTAGAAGTAACTTGTGTCCATTACCATGTAGTCAGTATATCATCAGTTAGAAGTAACTTGTGTCCATTACCATGAAGTCAGTATATCATCAGTTAGAAGTAACTTGTGTCCATTACCATGAAGTCACTATATCATCAGTTAGAAGTAACTTGTGTTCATTACCATGAAGGCAGTATATCATCAGTCAGGAGTAACTAATGTTGACTAACTTGTGTATATTATTAGCTCTGAATTAACTGCAGACCACCGAATTTGGTTTTCACTGCTAAGCATTTTAAATTCTGTCTGCATAAAAACCTCCAGTTTCTTCTAAAGTTTTAGTTTGTATTGCACCTATAAGTTAATAAGCATGTTATCCCATTATAAATCCCAAGGTTTTCTGATAGCTTGTGTTTTCTAAAGCTTGACAAGAAAGCCTGTGCTGCCATCCATTCTGTAAATTTGAGGAATTTCCTGGGTGCTCAGTGTAGGACAATACGAGAAGAACAAGGTGATGAAAGTGAGGAATTCCTGGAGTTGTTTGGTTCTGAGATCACCTATATTGAAGGAGGAAGAACACTTAGTGGCTTCTATAATGTAGAGGAAACGGTGAGTAGAATTTTTTAAGTCATAATTTCTAATTACATGTTTCAAAAACTGTATTTTCAATGCTGGAAATAAATTCAAACCATATTAAAAGTATCAGAACGTGAATGCTCAAGATCTTACTAAGAAAAGTGAAGAATTACTCTCGTTGTTTGTTTTTTAAATCGTGGACATTTAATGAGGAAGAATTCTTTGTGGCTTCTGTAATGTTGAGGAAACAATGGATAGAATGTTTGTAATTATATTTTTAATGCTGAAAGTATAATTGGAAATTAAACAAAAAACGTTCGCTATTCTGTCATGACTTTTTCAGTCAGTTTTTCTGATCTTAACTAACATAGGAAACTGTTTGAGTCACTGATGCGTAATACTGAAGTACGAGACTACTGTACATCTACTTTTTGTTGTAATATTCTTAATTGGGGTGAAAAGAATCAAAAGGTCCTGACCACCCCAGGTTGTCTTTCAGGCCCCCAAATCTTTTTTTGATGCTTGAAAGATTTTTTAAACCTAAATTCCTGCCACAAATTTGTTTTGATTTGAATTCTTAATTTTATCAAGTCACATTGGAAATTGTTTTTCAGGGATAAGACTGCACTTCAAATATTACGTTTACACTTTACTAAGTGATGGAAATTTAAAGTTTAGAATGTTTGAAAAACTAATTTATTTATGTGCATTTGAAGAAATTTTTAGTGTATAGTGTTTTGATATTGGACACAGATGAACATAGCTGAAATAAGAGAATAATACAGAAATGTTAAAACCAAGAAATCTTCAAAAAAAAAGGTCTTTCACCAGAAATGTTAATCATGTTAGTTTATTTTAAGTTTGTGAGATTATTAATCTTGATAAGATATACACTAGAACACTATTAGCAAGTTGTATGAAAAAAAAACTTTGTTGGTTAAGAAATTTAAAACAATTACAGAAAAAAGGTTTTTGGTTTATATTTTAATAAATTAAAATTGAAAAGTTATTTTTCCACAGTTATTTATTAAATCATCTTGATTTTTTAAATACTTACAATGTTTTTCTTTCTGTTATTATCAGGAGTACATTAGTCGTTTATACAGGCTTCATGCTTGGGGTCGCCAAGTGCATCTCGAAGCAGTAAGTGATATTTTGATCAGTAATTTTTTTACTGTATAATGCCTTCTTGCCTAATGTGCAAATAAATTGAGTTAGATACTCTAGTATTATCGGCTGATTTTGTGAGAACTATAGGTGCTTTTTTTTAAGTAATTACAAGGCTGCTTAAGTTAAATTGAATTTCATATTTTTCAGATTCTCTAAGAAAGTTAGAATCTTTTACATCGCCCTCTGTCGTTTGATTTCAGTGAAATTAGACTCAGTTTCTTTTAAGTTGATTTGGACAACGTGAATTTCTTTTTCATCAATTTAGGGAAACCTATTAATAAGAATATGTAACAAGTAATCCACAAAAGGTTTTATTAGAAAATTTGGAACTTAAAACAAACTTTTTTTTAATGATAGAAGAATTAAATTGAAGACATTTGTTTATGATACACGTGATAGTTTATATTTCCTTGCTGTATTTCACCTGGTTGTGGGAATATTTTAGGTACCTCTGCACCATAGCTCTCTTGATCCTAGATACGCTTTTGTACTGGATGCTGGGAATCATATTTACATTTGGAATGGAAAACAATCCAAAAACACCCTACGATCCAAAGCAAGGTACATCTTTATAAATTGATGTAAATAGTCATATGAAGAATTCAGTGATGCTGATTTCTTGGGATTGTGTTTATTATACTTCAATTATATTTTAATGGCTTACTGCTACTGTACAGTTATTCTCATGCAACCTTCAATTGTGCTACTATTGAAGCTTTAGAAAATGCTTGTTTCTTAAGTAATTTGTATAAGAATTGTAGAGAAATGAATGTTTATGAAAAACATTACATACTGTTTATAATGAATTGTTTATTTTAAGATGCATTTTGCTGTATCTTATGGTGGGTTCAGAGGTTCCACCTTCCATTGTTAAAGTAATTTAGATTTTTTCTTTTTTGACAAATGAATAACTGACCTAAAAATTAAGTTTGTTTAAAATAAATACATGAAAATATGTACATTCTCAAATGTTTGGAAAGTTTTATGCAAAAAAACTGGTAATTAGTTTTCTGTATTAAATATAAATATATATTATTAGAAACAGGGTAACAGGAAAAAAGTTACCTATTGTTTTTAGTGTTTTTTTTTGTTGTATTTAACTATGTTGCAAGATGATGTGGACAACATAAACAAGAGACATTAAGTAATATAAAATGAATTGATTATACTTTACAGGATACAGTAAAAAAAAACAACAACAACGATATGTTCATCCCTGGGAATGGCAATTCCACAAAATAAAAAAAAAAGTTATATTGCAATTTACAGCTATTCATTTAAGGTATATGAATGCAGTAATCACCTTTACAAAACTGGTTAAGGAGAGGTTAAAACAACTCGTAAAAATCAGTTTTGTCTCGGTCTTCGTTGTCATTTTATATTTGAACCTAACAAGATTTTATAACTGTATTTGTGATTGAGTTTGATATTTTGTAATAATATTTCAGGCTTTTAGCTGAGAAAATCAACAAGAATGAGAGGAAGAATCATTCAGAAATCATCTCCTTCCCTCAAGGACAAGAAGAAAGATGTTTTTGGAAATACTTTGGCTTAGATGACCCCCAACTAGACCCTCCACAGCCCCATGTACCCGCTGATTTTGAACCCATTCCTCCACGGTTATATCAAGTGGGACTGGGAATGGGCTATCTTGAACTCCCTCAAGGTGAGGATAAAACAAGAAGGGGTTGTTAATCTTGAATTCACTACTTTAGTGATATAATGAATGTTTTAATTATTAAACAGCTAAGTGTTGCTCGTCATCTCTTACTGAATATGTAAAACTTAATAATGTAAGAATGAACAAGTGATGAAAAATCACAATTCTGTCCAATAAGGATGAGAAACAATCCAGAAATTCCACTTTTCACTGGCAGGTTATGTAACGAGTGAAATAAATAGCTTGCATCTCTAAACTTCACCACCAGATGTTAGCAGAGGCCGTATTATGTATTATACTGAAAAATAAAACTGAGTAGGTAAAAACTAGGAATCCATCTTTAAACTTCCCCATGATGATCTGTCTTCAAATAAAACTTAGATTTTTATCTTCATTGACAATTTTCAAAACAATTATATATATCCATCAAATCATGTATGTGAACAAAACAGAAGAGGATGTATGCCTTTCACAACAACATTTGATTAATTTGGACACATTCTGAATTGGGTCATACTCAGAGCAATGTTCAGTTTGTTCTCCATTGTGCACACAATTACCACCAATAAAAAATAATCATGCTGCTAGTAGTGTTAGCAACAAAACGTTGCATATAAAAAGGCTTAAGTATAAACTGGAAAAACTATTTTTTTAAGGATGAATTTGTCTGTTCATTGTTAAGTACGAAGATACAAAATGGGCTATCATTGCCATGTCCACCATGAGTATTGAAACACTGGGTATTTAAACTGTTATTTTGTCCTTTAGTTGAAGTTCGGCAGAACAAGCTGGTGCCAACTCTTTTGAACACAAAGTGTGTGTATATTTTGGATTGTGTTGCAGATGTCTTTGTGTGGTGAGTATACAAGTTGAAACTTCACAAATCATTTGTCAATAGATCAAACACAAAGTGTGTGTATATTTTGGATTGTGTTGCAGATGTCTTTGTGTGGTGAGTATACAAGTTGAAACTTCACAAATCATTTGTCAATAGATCAGACACAAAGTGTGTGTATATTTTGGATTGTGTTGCAGATGTTATTGTGTGGTGAGTATACAAGTTGAAACTTCACAAATCATTTGTCAATAGATCAAAAATATTTAACTCTCTGTATATGGGCCTGGCTTTTTTGCACACGTCACAATATTTTACAGAGTTACATTCAAAATCCAGTTAAATAATTTATTATCAATGTAGGTCAATAAAATTAGCATCAGAGTTTTATATTATTTGAGTTTTAATTTAAAAAGAAAGTATTTAAAAAATTTTCAATATTCACAATATTGTCCTTAACTTTCAAGTCAGTTTTCAAAACTACATGTTCTTTTGTGACATACACGCTTATAACCAGTAGAACTTATATCTCAAGTTTGCAAATGCTCTTTGAATTTGGTGGCAATGGATGTTAGTCTAGAGGAAGTGATCAGTGTGTTTGTGTGCAATTAAAGTTGATGATCATAGTATTAATGATTTTTTTAACCTATTTATAATTAGCTAGAAAGCCAGTTAAATTTAGTTATTTTTAGGCATTTTATTTTAGTAGTTTACATAAGAAAATGCATATTTGAAAGGTACATGAATTTTTGTTTCGACAACTAGCTTAGATAATGGTTGGAGACGGCTTGAATGGGTAATGAAGAAAAACTTTAATATAAGTTTAACATAACAGCAAATGTACAACGTTTTGATAAAACCTTGTCGAAACATTGTACATTTTCTGTTA